AGCAGTTATGCGGGAGAGCTTTGTCCCTTTATCCCATCATCTAAAATGTGCACCTGTGACTCTGTTGACAACACTCTGCCAATATATTGTAAGTGCCCAGAGCAGACAGAGCAGAGATGATATATAAACCAAGCAATCAAGGATGCTTGTGGACTGCCATGCTAGTCACTTAAATTGCAGACATAATACATTTTTATTCATTTGAGTCATTCATTTATTATTTGATAAATATTTATTGAGCACTTACTATCTGTTAGGTCCTGTGTTTGCAGTGAAAACTGAATCATAGGTGCCAATGCATGCTTTGAAGAGGCATGTTAGTAAGTCTCCAGTTTCCACCTCTGCTACTCTTAATATGAAATCAATTGAAAGGAAATCAGTGAATGAAAGGGCAACTTTGTCCTTTAAAATGCTGAGAATCCTAAAAATACTACCATGGATAGGTAAAACAAGAATTAAGAAACCTCCAAAACAATTGAGAGCCAACAAGAAGATAACCTTTCAATTCTCAGCATAGGTGTTAGAATGCTATATAAGCATGAGGCAAGTTTGTTAGTTTTAAATAAACGTGTCTGTTGCTTGGTTAACTATACAGTACCACATTGAAAGGCACTTAGTTACAAAATAGGCCCCAAAGTATAAATGAAGACAAATTAAAAAATCCAATTAAAAATGAAATTCAGTAGGTACAAATCACAGCACTACCACCACCATCACTACTAAACCCATTTCTAACTTGCTAATGTGTTATTTTTATCATCCTGCAGGTAAGTACTATGAATATTGTTTGGGTAAGCCATCCCTGGCCATCAATGAAAAAGGACTCTTTCTCCCTCTATCCATAACCCACTGCCATACACACAGAATACATGCTTCTGCCAAGGGAGGGAGGGCAGTGAAAAGATACAGAAAGCCTGAGCTTTGTGGTTAGACACATAAGTTTGAAGTCTGTTTTATCCCAGTCCTTGTTAGATGCATCATGTGGGCAAGTTTCTTAAGGGAGCTTGAACACATGCAGGACCACCAAGAAAGACTTCTTAAAAGAGGTGTTACAAAAGATAGGCTTTAAGGATAGACGGGGTTGAGACCTATGAAAATTGGTGAACAACACATTATCAACAAACATACAAAAGTGAATGGAGGGCTAGGTATGGTGGTGCACACCAGTAATCCCAGTTATGTAGGAGACATAGGTAAGGATTACAGTCTGACTCTGGCTCAGCCCTCCCCCAACACTCATGCACACACAAAATGTGATACCCCATCTGAAGAATAACTGAAGCAAAAAGGCTGGGGGTATAGCTCAAGTGGTAGTTCAAAAACCCCAGTGCCACTATACACATTGTGGTATGGAATTACCACAATGAACCCGCCTCATATTATTAATGTATGGTAATTAAAAATTAAATTAAATTAAAAGAAAGACCCAGTGTCACAAGAAATAAAAAGAGAAAAGAAAAAGAAAAGAGAATGGACACAGGAAAACAAAGGGTTTAAAAAGGTTTCTAAATGTTCATGTGTCTGGGATATGGGATGAGTGAAGTGGAGAAGTGAAGTAAATCACAGCTGAAAGCAGACTGGCATCAGAATGTACAGGACCTTGAAGGCCAGGCTAACAAATTTGGATATTATCTGCAGACAATGGAGAGTGAGTGAATGTTTCTAAGCAGATACAATGAGACTACTAAGACTAAAGCTCTCATCCTTCCTTGCTCTACCTGAGTAACCAGGGCCTTCCCTCACTAATGGTTGTGTTGACTCAATGTCTGACCTGCTTGACAGCAGCTCCTTCCAAGGTCCTTGAGCAGAATTCTTATTAATTCCACTTCGAAGTCTATAGTGCCCTTTCAGAACACTCTTAAACTTCCCCCCTTTCTTGTCTGAATTGTTTCAGGGGAAGTCATGATGATGCCATAAATGATTGACACATCTGAATCCAAAGAATGTGCAAGCCTTTCATAAGCCAGCTTATAATTTCTGCTAGTTATCTATGCTTCTGCTGATAGCATTATAATCATTCATCTGCTCCCAGGGGGAGTGGTCATTCAAAATTTATCACTACAGGTCTACAATTTTATACAAACAGCAAGAAAACTTTCAGGCATATTAATAGACCATTCTCAAGAGGAGATCATAAAAGTATATTTCAGAATTAGAGGGAGAAATGTCACCCTGGGTGGGAAAAAAAAAATCTCAGCTATCTTGTAAACAATTTCTTAAAACACTACAAACCAGAGTAAGTTCTCTGCAAACCTACAGAGGCAATATATCATGCATATCCAACATATGTAATTTATTAGATGCTATTTGCTACCAGTCTTATCTGAACAATTGTTTGGTTTGAATAGTGGACATCACCCTAGTTCACTTATTTGTCCTATGCAGAAAAAAATGACAGCAAAATGCAACAGGAGGGGAGGGATGAAAGAAACATGAACAAGAAGAAAAGCAGCTGAGGAGGGTGCAGAAAAAAGCACAGATGAAAGAAAAGAGCAGTAAAGTAGAAACTAAACCCATGCTGTTGGACAGAATGCATGCTCTGCCTGATTAACAGTATACATAGCACAGTGCCAAGTGTGGCTGAATGAATTACCAGTGCCAATTGCAGCTACTGAGAGCCCACTTTGTGCTAAAGGTACAAAGATGAAAAGGGTAAAGCTCCTGCTCTTAAAGGGTTCAAAATTTAGATGAGGAGACTGATAACCAAACAAGTGAATCACAATGCAGTGTGCTGAAATGCTCTAAGAAATTGGAGCTTTTATGAAAGCTTTGAGTTCACCACCAGAAAGGATTCTTGAGAGGTGTGTTATTTGGGTATCTTTAAGTAAGTCATTTAGCCTCTCTGAAACTCACCTTAAAAAGTGATTGTATCTGGCCACCTATCTCTAGAGGTTGTTTTAAGATTAAATGTTAAGTCCACTCTGAAAACTGAAAGTGCTGTACCAGGGTGTGAGAGGGCGTTTTCTTCTGCTTATTCAAACAAAGGCCTGTTTAGGGCTCACTTTGTGCCCTGGGTACCAATACTGTGGGGCTGAGCATGTATCCTCCCTGACATCTTCATGTTCTTCCACCATCCCGTGCCTCAGTACAATCAATTTGCTTTCCTACTGTGTGTTAACACGCACACCCACAAACACACAGTCTGGAAAATAATATGAAACACTCACCAACTTAAGGTTGTCTTTTCATCCTGGATGTCCACAGAAGGCAACAGGGTAAGGGTTTTGGCACTCAGGGGCACACAGCCTCTCCAGTGGATTTGACAGCCCTGGTCCCCTGCCTGGCACTCTTCTCTCATCCTCCTCTTTCTTGCCTGTCTTCATCAACCTTCCCTGATCTTCCTTACCTGCCTTCTACCTAACAGTGTTTCTGGCTTCTCTGCTTCTCTCCCTCTTCCCAGTTGGGCAGAACACAGTAATTTCTCAAATCTCCCAGGAGATGTCCATCAAGAACAGTAAAAAGGAGAGCTACCTTCATGGAGGCCAGTGAATTTCTGAAGCTGTCTATTAGAGACCTACCTGTTGCTAGGACTGTCTGTACTACTCAGCCTTCCTTCCTGACTCCTCTCCTCCTTTCCCCTTCTTTTTCCTGTCTCTCTCTCTCTCTCTCTTACCCTCTCTCCCTCCCTCCCTATCTCTCTCTCTCCCTATCTCTCCCTCCCTTTCTCCTTCTCTCTCTCCCCCACTTTCTCCCTGTCTCCTCTCTCTCTTCCTCCCCCTCTATACCTTATTCTCCTCCTCATCTCTCTTTTCCCCTCTTCCTTTTCCCTTTTCTTCTGATTCAACAGTTCTTTACCTGGGCCAGGTCCACTTTCTTCCCCAGGGACTCTAAGGTCAGGTTTCACTTCTTTGCTCAGTCTCCACTGGCTCACCTACCCAGCTCCAAATTCTTAGATGGCCTCTTCTTTTCCTCCCCTCCCTGCCTGCCACATCCCCAGCTCCCCTAACTCCTGTGCTCTGGATCCTGCTCATGCTGGGAATACTGGGGAAGTTCTCCTAGAACACTGGGCAGGATCAAGTTGTTGCTCAGGTTCTGCTCAGCACCTAGTGACCTCACTGAATTTTGTGCACATGATTGGCTACTCCAGGGCTCTGTGGCGGGAGATGCTGAAAAGATTTGTGTGGCTGGTTTCTTTGTCCTGCTGCCTCCCTCAGTTTGGGTTGGGTAAATAGCCTTGTGACACTACTGTACTTCACACAAAAAGATTTAGGAGCAACCTAGATGGAAGAGAAGCGGTGACTCAGGCCCAGAGTGAAGAAGAAAGGGGTTCTGTTGCACAGGAGGGAGGAGCAGAGTCAGTGAGGCTGAGGGGTGAGGGCCTAGGAGAAAAGCTTGAGAGAATCTGAGCAACTCACAGAAAGTAACAGTCTGGGAAGATGTGCAGTTTTCAGCCCTAACCTTGATCTCCTTTCAATGATGAGGGTCTCACCATGGTACAAATAGAATTTTGAATTTGGAACCAAGCATTTAATTTAGTCTTTGCTGTACTTGTATGACCTTATTTCATTCTGCTTCCATTTTCAACATAGAATTATAATGTTGATGTACTTATTTTACAGTCTTAGGAAAAGGTTTAAATGAGAAAATATTGTGTAATTATTGAATCTGCAGTTACTTTAGTAGGTAATATGGAATAGCAAAAAAATTCTGTAAGGAATGAAAAAGTCTTTGATTTTCTTTCACTTTTCTATAGTCACGTTCAGTCTTTCTGGGCTTCATTGTCCTCATCTGTGAAATGGGAGAACTACACCAGATGATCTCTAAAACCTCTCTGGCTCTAACATATGATGACTGATAACACTTAGCATCCTCCTACCCTCTAGAGGATAAATCACTTACCTTTTCAGGACTCTAGTTAATGTTTCCCCTTTCTCTTAGGTATCCTGGTGAACCTACTTTCCATAGAGGCCTAGCCTCTCCTGAATCCCCACAATGAAAGTGTAGATCCACACTGTAGCAATATATACAGGGCTCATCCTTGATGGAGATTCTCTCCCCAGGCTACTGGCAGGAGCAGGATTTGGAGCTGGGAACTCTGGCTCCACTGGACGAGGCCATCAGCTCCACAGTCTGGAGCAGCCCTGACATGCTGGCCAGTCAAGGTGAGAATTCAGGCCTCTCATCTCAATGTCCCCCAGATCCCTCACTCATCCTCACATCATCTCCTACTGATGTCACCACCACCCATGTTCTCACTTCCCCCATTACCATAAGGCTCTTTCTCTTTCTCATTTCTCCTTCCCATTTGACATTTTAGTTCTTAGTTCTGCATCATCAAGTTCCCTTGTACCTACTTGTTCCCTCACTCGGTATAGAGACCTCTGTAACCCTACACCTCTTTCTAAAAATAAAATGCTTCCAGGGGAATAGATTACTCAAGACAAAGAGGTCCTGGAAAGAGGTGATTAAGGAAGAATTCTTCAAAAGGAACCAGGGACAAAAGGATTAGAGTCAGAATTTGGTATAAGGTTATGGTAAATGAATGGTTTCCTAAACCTTTCACTGAGAGATTTTAAAAAAATAGTACTTCCAAATTTCCTCAGCCAGCTCAGTAGCTAGCAAAATCCTGGTTCTAAAATTCTCAAGTTACATGACTACTTTGAGAAGCATTCCAATGAAAATAGCACTGCAGTGAGAAACAGAAGAACAGAGTACCAGTCCTAATGAGAATTAGTGGAATGGTCTTAGGCAGTCATTTCACCTTCATTGCCTCACTGCCTATATCTATAAAATGATGGAATTGGGTTCCATCATCCTTAGGATCTATCTTAGTTCTTACTTTTACAATTCTATAGTACAAATAACTACCAGACTTTGGACTCCAATTGGAAACAACCACTGTGAATGGTGGATGCTCTGATGTGTGCACCTTCCCTCCTCAGGGCCTCCTCTCTGCTTAGGAGCACTAAAGATATATTTCTTAAAAATGGAGTTCTAGTGACTTGGAAAGAATGGAATAAGCAGACAGAGTGGGGGTAAGGTCAGTGCCAAGGGGAGCATGGGATTGTTTTTAAAGTGATCAATACAGGAATGTTAGGAGTAAGTTTCTTGGTTTCCTATTCAGACAGAACAATGCTGGTTAGGTAATTCAGTGCTGTAGAGCAGACTTTGTGGATGTTTCAGAATCAAAGCTGGAAGGTATTTATTTTAGATTAGTTCTGTGCAGGTCAGCACTGTTGGGTCACTGAAAGTCAGTCTGAAGATGAAAGAATCAATATTGGGAATCAGAATCCATGCTGTGGGGAAGTTAGAACAATACCGGGTGGAGAAAGCAGGTGCTGAGTCTGAGGGGCTCACAACCAGGCCTGAGGAGAAGAACATTAGGGATTCATATGCTCATCTAGAAAACACCTTATGAGTCCTTTTGTGTTTTGTTTGATTTGATTAAGGAGAGAGGGGTTAGAAAACATACTTTCAGCACATTGAAGAGAAAGCACTAATCCTTCTCTCTTTATAATGGTATCAGTATGGAGATTTGGGTCTGTGTATTGGGAGGTGGGAAGTACTAATACCAAGAGAGAGTCTTAAGGCACTTAATGATTGGAGGGAAGCTATTGTTAAATTTAAAAGTATGTCAAATGTTTTATTTTTATATATTTATTGTTTGTTTTGCTGTTTTATCAGCTACTTTTTGTATAAATGAATGTATAACCCAAGGACTGGTTTGGCCTTTCCCCCATTTTAGCTTTGGGATAATTAGTCACAACTGCTTCTCCTGTTTTTGTTCTTATGTGTAGGTGGTGGCAGGAAAATCTAAAATGTAGGCTGACAGATATGTATGTGTGGTCTCAAAAATGATTGGTAGAACCATATCAGAAAAGACACTTGTGGAGTAGTGTGTACAAATTTGGGGTACCTTTCTTCCTCTCAATGTTTGTGGTCCTGTCAATTCATTCAGCAAGCATACAACAAGTGACTGCTGTTCTGTATATTCAAAGCAAGAGAAAATAAGTCCTGTTTCCCCTTCACCACCACCACCACACCTCTGTTCCTTCCCTCATGAAGTCTTAAGAGTCCACAGAGACAAGAGCCTTGGATGGTCTGAATTAGATGAGGTGGACTTTGGTCCAGAAACGGGTAAATGTTCTCAGAGTTCCTCAGGAAACTAACCCTGCTCTACTCCTACAGATAGTCAACCCTGGACATCCGATGAAACAGTGGTAGCTGGTGGCACTGTGGTGCTCAAGTGCCAAGTGAAAGATCATGAGGACTCATCTCTGCAGTGGTCTAATCCTGCCCAGCAGACTCTCTACTTTGGGGAGAAGAGAGGTAGTGTCCCATGAGTTACCTCTCTCCTTGGGAACTATGGGCTGGGAAAAGGGACTGCAGAAGCTGAAGGGAACTAACTCTGTGGTCCAGAGTCTGAGGAATATGGAGGTATGCTATGCTGTTTAAGGACACAACAAGTCATAGTCTCCTCAACTGTTTCCAGAGAAACTTCAGTACTACAGCTCTGACCTAGGCTATGTAGTCTTATAGGGTCCTGGAGTGACTACACCCCAAAGGAGCTCTAACAGAGAGCTGACTTCAGATTGTCTCAGGTGTCTCACAAACAAGCACACACCATCCATTACTTTTCTGAGTAGCTCTTAAGCTACTATGCCCAATGGCCAAGAAAAACCACTGAATGACCTTGTTCAAACTCAGGAGTAGTGTTTTGCCACCCACCCCAAAGATACTGGCCTAGGATTGAAAGATAAACATGAAAGGTGCCAATAGAAACCTAGCTTCCAACTCTCCCAATTTCCCCAGCCCTTCGAGATAATCGGATTCAGCTGGTTAGTTCTACTCCCCACGAGCTCAGCATCAGCATCAGCAACGTGGCCTTGGCAGATGAGGGAGAGTACACCTGCTCCATCTTCACTATGCCTGTGCGAACCGCCAAGTCCCTCGTCACTGTGCTCGGTGAGGCTCCCAAACCCCAGTGTGTCCTCAGCATGCTTCTTTGCAAACAAAACTCCCTAGGTTGGCCTCTGAAGCAGCCTGGAGTCAAGCAAGCCTCCAAAATTTGGGGGAAGTTCAGCCCATGTCTCCCTTGCAGTGGAATAAAAATACAAAGGACTGAGTTCTAAATCCTTTCTGCTATACTTACTGTTTGATCTGGGACAAATCCTTCACTTTTTTGAGCATGAACTTCCTAACTTATGACAAGGAATGATCATGTTCATCCTGCTTACCTCCAAAGATCATGTGAGAGAAACATGAGATTTGTATGGGATGTGAAATTATAATTTTGAAGACAAGTACTCTAGTTGCTTACATGTTCTCATTTTCATCTTGTGTTTCAATTTCCTTCTTTTCTTCTCTGAGCCTCACACTATCTCTGTAGCCACCCATTTGTGATATGGGGTCAGGTATGGTATATATCCCTCCTACCACATCTCTTCCCCTTGGTCTTTCCTTCTGGTCCTCAGGCAGGAGATCTAAAAGAAAGATGATTCTCATTCTTCTATCCATCTTTCTAAACCAAAGTAGAGTCCAGGTGTCCTGAACCCTAGAGAGGCCATCTCCACAGGGACAGCTGAAGTGTGACCTCATGGTGCCTCTCCTTCCTATCCTGGCCATTCCCTGTCCATGGCAGGAATCCCACAGAAGCCCATAATCACTGGTTACAAATCATCTTTACGGGAAAAGGAAACGACCACCCTAAACTGTCAGTCTTCTGGGAGTAAACCTGCAGCCCAGCTCACCTGGAGGAAGGGTGACCAAGAACTCCATGGTGAGTACCTGCTGTCTCAGGGTTGCAGGAAGTGGTGGTACTGGGAAGGGGGGTGGGAAATTAATGTGCACATAAGGCATGGTATAGAAGAAGAAAATGAGTTACACATACTTTATATACACTCATATGTGTTAAGTCCTACATTCTCCATGTGGGCCCATATCCATTTCACAATTTTCTAAGTTTGTCTGGGTTGATACCATCTGTGTCTACAGAGGAGCCCACATGATACTTGTATGTAGACTCACTTTGTGTCTGTGTGTGTTTATGTCTGTCTGTCTATTTCTGGACTCCAGGAGAACCAACCCGAATACAAGAAGATCCCAATGGAAAAACCTTCACTGTGAGCAGCTCAGTGACATTCCAGGTTACCCGAGAGGATGATGGAGCAAACATTGTGTGCTCTGTGAACCATGAATCTCTAAAGGGAGCTGACAGATCTACTTCTCAGCGCATTGAAGTTTTATGTATGTCATGGGCTTGGGTATGAGAAAGACCAGGTATGAGATAAAGGGTGGGGAAAAGGAAAGTCAAGTGACTCACATGAAACAATGTGTGCAGATAAGTGAATAGGTTAAAAAGTGAGATAAAAGGTTTTCAGCATCAGATTGTATTGTTCTAAGCCATCATCTGAACCCAGCCTCTTAAGCAGCCCTTTGGCATCAATGGCAGATGTCCTTATTCCTTTGAAGAAGCTATCTATATTGTATCTATATTGGTTTTATTTTTTAGCCAAATATGACCCCCAATTCTTGCTGTTTCAAAGGTCAAATTCCTGTTTGAATTGACACTCAAAGTGATGTTTTGTGTTCCATTCTTTCTAGGAATGCACTGTACCTACTTGAGCTACAACTTTAGCCCATGTTCAACTCTTTGTGTAAAGGCCCAAGTAGTAAATATTGTAGGCTTGGAGAGCTGTACAGTCTCTGTCTCAACTTCTTAACTCTGCTTGTGCTTCAGGAGAATGGCCATAAACAATATGTAAACAAATGGGCTAGGCTGTGTTCCAATAAAACTTTATTTACAAATCCATGCAGCTGGCATGATTTGGTCCAAGGGATAAGTTGGCCAACCAAGGGCTAGACCAGTGTGATGTAGCTAGATTATAAATGATAGTGTTAACTGTAGCAAATCCAAAGTCCCAGGATGTAGTTTGTAGTCTGTATTCCACCACTTCATAGCCGTGACAATTACTCTCCCCCAGTGAGCTTGATTCTTTGCAAAATGAGAGAGATAAACATGGGGCTCACTAAGTCATTCCATGACTTTAGGAAGTTCGTGTTAAAAGGAAACACAGCCTCTCTGGCAGCTCCACACATTCGCGGGTCTTTTCCCTAATGGGCACTCCTGCAGTTACCCCAGATCCATGATTTTTCTTGGAAATCTGACCTGAAATGTCCACTGCCATATTATCACTATTCCCAACCCTTTCTCAAGCACCTTTTTCCCCTCTGTGGAATCTGCCTTTAGTATGAACAGTAGTCTTCTGAGAAAGTCAGGACACTTGGAAATTTCTCATCTGAGGAAATTTGAAAATTTTGAAAAAGAACTTTTCTGGGTGGGAGAACCAAAGAGATAAGAATATAGTGCAGAGGATAGAGTTATAAAATGCATTCCTTGCCCCAATTTATGAAAAGGTTGAGTACTTTTTAAAAATAACTACAGCCTTTAATTTTCTTCTTGTGAAACACCTAGACTGATTGCTTTTCCTAACTTCAATGCTATTTAACTAATGTTTGGCGCCATTATTCAAACACTAAACATGAAGTAGTTTTGAGTAGTGTCACTGTGTATTTAGCAGATTCAGTCTCAGGCAGACAACCTGGATTCTAGCCACAATGCCAGCATTACTAGCTATGTTACCTTGACCAACACATTTAATCTCTGTGACTCCAACTTACTTCACATTTATCCTGAGGATAAATGAAGTGAAAGAAACATATGAAAGAACTCTGTAAACTTCACAGTCCTATATTACTATAAGGTGTTTCTCTAATTACTAGTTCTAAGTGTGAGGCCCTTAGCCTCAAGTATTTCTCCTGAGTTCTGGTCCCTAGCAAGGGCTTAAGAAGGCAGTTCCCTATCAGAGCCCCAAAGAGACCTCTGTTAGACACTAGACCATCAAGTGATTACTCTTTAGGGGCCCTTGTGGCCCAATTGTGATCAGCAGTCAGTCAACAAATTCTGTACTCCAGGCACTGTATTAAAGGTTTCTATGGCTGTAGAGTCCCAGAATAGCCATTCTCTCACCTGGCCTCTCTGTATCATGTATGATTTGACTAAAGCATGTTCATTAACTGGTTGTTAAGGTTGGCTTTATCCTTAGGGGAAGCACAGCCTCTTTGTCTGCTGTTCTAAACCAGCATCTGCTTGTATTGTTCTAAGCCACCATCTGGACCCAGCCTCCTAAGCAGTCCTTTGGCGTCAATGGCAGATGTCATCATTCCTTCTCAGAAACCATCTATATTGTGTCAGGGCTTTTTTGTAGCCAAAATAGGACCCTCATCTCTTGCTGCTTCAAAGCTCTCATTTCATGTTTGGAATGACCATTTAAAGTGATGTTTTGTGTTCAAGCATTGCTTCCAATTTTAAGCTCCCTTGCAGAATAGACAGAACTAAGAGGTGGTGAACTCAGTGTCAAGTTCAGGTGTCTTTGTTCTATTAAAAACCTGTATTAGGTTCTATCTATGTGCCAGTCCATTTGCTAGGCATGGGTGAACCACTTCTCAGCTCTGTAAGACATCCTGGAGGCCTCACCAAGGACAGACTTCCCAGAGTCCTGTCACTAAGAGGTTGCAATATATTGCAACAAGTTGCTCCTCGCACATTGAATAGCAGTTGCAGTCTTTGTTCACAAAAACTAGGGGGAAGAAGGTTTTTGTCCACAGCCTCTTGGGCTCCTGAGACATTTCAGGATAGAAGCTGTTGTGTATAAGTGGGTGATTTCAAGATTTTAAGGATCTCCTAATAGTGTGGAAATAAATATTTCCTTCTCCACAGACACACCGACTGCAATGATTAGGCCAGACCCTCCACACCCCCGTGAAGGCCAGAAGCTGTTGCTACACTGTGAAGGCCGTGGCAATCCTGTGTAAGAAGATCCACTTGCTGGCCTTGAATATTCCTCTATACACTCAGATTGCTGTCTTCATTGATCATCTTTTTCCCATCTCCTCTGTACTGGCTAAGCTGAGCCTCTCCCTCCTGACTTTGTCCAACAACACCCATCCTTTGTTTCTCCTACAATACAGCAGAAATGGAGGGGGTCATGCCCTAGCTTAGTTTAGCCCCTTTTGGTTCCCCCAAAGTTACAGCAAGGTATGAATTAGAAACTCTCTACCTTCTCCAGAATGAACCCAAGAGCTGCAATTCCCACCCCTCTTCTGGGCAGCTCAGTGTTTCTAGACCATATTAACTTTTTGAGCCTCATCAAACAGTTTTTGGCTTCCCTGCTCTCAGTTATATTTTTCTTCCCCTAGCTCCCTGGCCTGTGCTTTCTTGAACACTTCTGATTTTTCTACCTCAACAGCCCCCAGCAGTACCTATGGGTAAAGGAGGGCAGCGAGCCACCCTTGAAGATGGCCCAGGACAGTGCCCTCATCTTCCCTTTCCTCAACAAGAGTGACAGTGGCACCTATGGCTGCACAGCCATTAGCAACATGGGCAGCTACACAGCCTACTTCACCCTCAATGTCAACGGTGAGCTTCCCCAGGTCTCCCTTTCCAGCATCTCCCTTTTCTGTCCATCTCACGCTTTATTCTTCCACATCCTACCATGATTGTGTCTCTGTACCATGACTGGAAGTAGAAAAATATGGAAAATGCCCACAAGAGTACTGGGCATTTAGGCTCTAGACCCACCCTGGTGTGTGTAATAATAGGATCTCAATAGAAGGGTAGGCTCTCACAGCCTTTGTCTAGAAGCAGTGGCTCCACTGGCACCATTTTCTGTCCCCTGCAGTCACTTGACAACAAGAATAATAATCAGAGTGTAGAGGCTCCAGAGTCTCTCAAAGGTGGATATACACACATTGTCCTCACTAAAGAGCTATTCTCAGAGTTCCTCCTCTTAGGACTCTATATAGGGTTCATGCTACTGCTGTTGGTTTATTTTCTGAAGACCTTGTACAGTCTATATGAGTCCCAGGCACTGTACTGGATCTAAGCTTGTACTATGCTGACACGGTCAGAATCTCTTCTATGCCATACCTTCCAAAGGGACCAGCAGATGTTCCTTCTCTGAAGTTCTCAAGGCCATAACCACCAAACCCAGCTTCAAGAGAAGTGACAGGCTAGCACAAAGATCCCTTTATGGAGAGTTGGCAGGGGATTATTTTTAAGATCCCAGTGGCATTTGGGTCTTGCCAGAAAGTCTTCAAACCTTTCTGCAAAATAGGGAAAGGACATTGTCACAGGAACTTCGGGGGTTCCTTTACTTAAATGCCCATAAAAGAAGTGTGTGTTGGTGTAGGGGTAACAGCCAGGCTTTCAGGGATAAGAAACCTGAGTGCTTGAGACCAGAATGTCTAGATTGGTGACTCCAGCTCCAACCTCAGCATGTGGGAGCTGCTTCAGCACAACAAACAAGGCTGTTGTAAGATGCCAGGAGCAATGACAAAGCACTGAAGTCTGGTCTCTGCCCCCAGATCTCTCCAGACCAACTTGGATATGAGTTGGCAGTGAGAGAAAGTTCTTGTGTCCCATTGCTATCTTGCTGATCTCCCCTCTGTCCTGTGTTAAAAAACCAAGCAGGAGTCCTGTGTAACTGTGCCTGCTGCCAATCCTGACGCCTGGTGGCAGAAAGAATTACTGCACCCTCTTCCAGGAATATTCTAAGTGAAAACCTGCCAGGAATGAAATTAAAAGTACTTCTACTTAGATACAGGGCCTTGTAATCAATGGACCCAGAGATCATTTTGGCAGTGGAAGATTAGCTTTTCTGAGGAATTTCCATTTCCATATTCTTTGGAATAATTATCCAGGATTAATTTTCAAAGTGGGCCATGTCTCATGTACTCCCTGGGAGGAAGGCAATAGGTAAACCTACTCCATTCCATCCAAGGTATAACATCATAACTACCAATGGAACACCAGTGATATCTTCTTCCTCCCTCTCAAGCAAAGCATAAAAAATCCAAAGCACAAATTTTTTCTTTTCAAATAAGGCATAGAGAGACAAGGAACTAAAAAGCTGGTCCAGTCAAGCTTGAGGAAACATAAGGTAGAAAAGAAAAAATGTAGAAGGAGTCAAGACTCAACTTGAGTCCAAGGAAAATTGACAGCTCTCCCATGGGTGGGAGAGTTATATCTATGGCTAATGTAATTTTGAAGACATCAGAACTTTATCCTGAGTCTGTACTCTTGTCTTCAGTCATATATATTTGAACCCCTGACTATGCCTGTGACTGTCCTTGCCACACCTGGTTCCATCTGTGCTATGGAGTTTATCCCCTATTGATATAGGAGGCAGATTCTATAAACCCATTGACAAAGATGCCAACCATAATGGAAAAAAACAAGCCAGTCCTTGTGCCCAAACCTTTGGATGGTGTCAGAGTAACAAACCCTAGTCCTCTTGTTGGGACAAGTTAAAGTATTGGTGTTTTACTGGAACACTCATCTTCCCTGCCAAGAAGAAACACTGCAAAAATATCAAAAGTATTCAGGAAAGTGTAGACCAGTAAGCTAAGAAAGAAAAAATTAACTGGGAGCAAGGACATAAAAAACTGATGAGGCTGAAAAAGTGATATGTGCTAAAGACACTGAGCCCCATGTCTGGAGCAGGGTGTGGGTAGTCTGGTGCTCTTGGTTCATTTTGGAGAAGATAAAGATTTCCTAATTCATATTGTACTATAACTTTGCTCCTCAGAGGAACCTAAAGGGCTTGTACAGGGTGTCACAGTCTAGCATTTTTGTAAGATGTCATCCAAGTGCTTAATTCTTGGCTCCATCAGCTTTCCACTGCTCCTTCCCTGTCTGATTTCAGAGCAATTGATAAATAGGCTGAGAAGCCCCCTAAGAAGAACAAACTCAGAATACCAAGCCTACAGGAAGTATGAAGGAATATGAGATGGGAGGAAAGGAACATTGATAACCCACAAGTGGAGAGAGAGGGAGGGAGAGAGAGAGAGAGAGAAAGAGAGAGAGAGAGAGAGAATGGAAGGAAGAAAGGAAAGAAGGGAGGGAGGGAGAGAGAGAAAGAAAGAGAGAGAGAGAAGGAAAGAAAGAAACAAAGAAAGAAAATAAAAGAAAACAGAAAGAAGATTGGGAAAAGGCATTAAGTAATGACCTTAGATTAAGGTCAGGCTCTGGTGCCAAGAAATAACTTGGATAGTTGAGTATGTGAGCTGATTTATTTATTATTCATGAACACATAAATTTGTTTTTACAATTACTATGTTCCAGGCATGTATGACAAAGTATAGCACAGACTAAGACATGTCCCCTTTGTTGAATGTTGCTGCCCCATTCTCTTGATGTTAGTGCCTGTTCTCTGTTGAGTAAGACTGTCCAGGCCAAGTCAAAATTCTAGATAAGGGTCCTCCCCAGATCTGACTGTGTTTCTCCTTCTCCTTCCAGACCCCAGTCCAGTGCCCTCATCCTACAGCACCTATCACGCCATCATTGGTGGGATCGTGGCTTTCATCGTCTTCCTGCTGCTCATCCTGCTCATCTTCCTAGGCCACTACTTGATCCGGCACAAAGGTTAGAGACACCAGGAGGGAGGGAGGGAGATCAGTCATGGACAGGCATAAAGAAGGCTGCAGGAAGGACCTCTAGCCCCTTGGAGTTCTTGAGAAATTAAAAATGCAGCCAACCCCTTCAGTGCCAACCCTGTGATCACTGAGCACCATGAACCCCGCAATAAAGCCTGATCACTTGGTGATCATCCAAGTAAAATCAAGGCTTCCCACTCATTCAGCTGCTCCACATTGCTCTGCCTCCAGGTCTCTGCTGTGAGACCAAAAGCTTCTGAAACAAGTCACCAGTCCATTTCTTTGGCATTGTCTTCCTTTATGTCTGTTAAGCCTCTTTTTCTTTCTTTGATCTCCTTACTCGTCCTCCCTATACCATCTCTTCTAGCTCCTCTTTTTTTTGTTGTTTTGTTTCACCCTTCTTTCTATACCCATGCCATCTCTCTTATTCCTTCCTTTCAGGCATCATGCTCTGTTATTAATTAGACCAGCAGACTAGCTTCATGGGCTGGTCATGTGTGAGATCTCAAGTGCATTGCACATGCACACACACACATGCATATATACATGTGCACCTCTTTTTTTTTCCCTTGCTTGTATTATAGATGAGATTCAGATTAAGGGCAAGATTCATTATTCATGGGGGCGTGGTTGGGTGAGGGCCGTTGGCAGCAAGATGCAAATTAGCTATGGTGGGATGGAAGAAAGCTCTAGGCAAGAGAAAATTCACATGAGCAAGTGTGTGAGTGGGTGGGCAGGAAAGTGGGCAGGGTGGACTTGAGGTTTAGAAGCTGCTCCTGAAAAGAGGAGCCTCTATCTCTACACAGGAACCTACCTGACACATGAGGCAAAGGGCTCCGACGATGCCCCAGATGCGGACACGGCCATCATCAACGCAGAAGGCGGGCAGTCAGGCGGGGATGACAAGAAGGAATATTTCATCTAGGGGTGCCTACTCACCTCCTGCACCCCCATGGGGACTGCTGGGGCTACCACCAACCCGGACTTGTACAGAGCGACCCCAGGGCCACCCCTCCTGCTTGCTCCCCAGCCCACCCAGCCCCTTGTACAGAATGTCTGCTTTGGGTGCGGTTTTGTACTCGGTTTGGAATGGGGGGGAGGAGGGGGGGGAGGGGAGGGTTGCCCTCAGCCCTTTCCGTGGCTTCTCTGCGTTTGGGTTATTATTATTTTTGTAACAATCCCAAATCAAATCCGTCTCCAGGCTGGAGAGGCAGGGGCCCTGGGGTGAGGAAAGAAAAACACCTAGAATGTTAGGAGGAGAATGAAGGCAGAGGGGTAAGAAATGGGTAAGAAGCAGGACTAGCCTGCAGGTGAGGGCTCTCCCCAGACCTCCCTCCATCCTCCAAGACAGAGCAGCTTCCTGGACTTCTCCAGGAACCTAGGAATCAGAACAGGAGTTAGCAGTGACTTTTCCTCTGCTAGCCACATACTAAGAGCTATAAACAGGAAGGACAGGTCTCACCCTGACACCCCTCTTCCATCACAAAGGGAAGGGAGTGAATGGGAGAGTCTCCAAGGAGATGTGATCTGCAGGTGGCATGCAGCCACACAGAGACCCAACGCTTCTAGCTGGGGAGAACATGGGTCCCTCTCAGGAATGGTAGACTTGGAGAGGAAGGATGGTGGAGAAGGCCCCATCCACTCATTGCTCCTCACAATGGATGAAACCAGGCCTTTTTCACAGAAACTGCCCTTGGGGGACAGCAGAGCTCCACTGCGCCTCCTAGCTTCAGCAGCGGTGGAGGGGCTCTGCTCTGGGGCCTGAACTGCGTCTGCTTTCCCCCACCGAGGGGCCTCTCACTCTTACCCAAGACCCTGGACTGTTGCACGGCAACCACTCCTGTCATGGCATTGCTCAGCAACTACTCCTCCATCTTGTGCCACCCTGTGCCCCTTTCTGTTTCTGACGCCAGCCCTCAGTCCTTCCTCCTTCAGCAGCCAGGCAGACATAACAACAAAAATACTAAAAGGAGCTTCACTGCACTGAGCTGTTTCCTGCCCAAACTAAGGGAATAATGTGAACTCTGTGCACATGTATGTGTGTGTGTAAGTGTAAGTTTGTGTGGGTGTGTATGCACATGTGTTGTCTGTGTGAGTAAGAAGTAGAGGAGAAGGGCCAAGGGACAGGGGTTCTGAGCAAGTGGATGGGATATGGGACATGTGAAGGAGGGCTTTGGGAATAGAGGATTCCTAGTCAGGATTTGTACCTCACCTGGAATGTTGCTCTATCCTGGTCTTTTCCATGCTATTCCCAATGCCCACCTCAGAAAAAGAAGTCCCAGGATATGGTTTGTGCCCAGCTGTGCATTTCAGCCCTCCCTGAAACATAGCACATTCAGCCCCTCCCTCAACTTCCTGTCTCCAAGCCATGGAGTCAGTGTCCCAGCCTTTGCTATGCACCCCTCAGGCCTCTCCCTGGCACTCACTCTGGATTCCCAGTATCCGTGCCAGTGAGTAGAGGGCTGAGTCCCATCCATCCCTGCTTTTGGTTTTCTGTCTTCCTTTTTCTGGCCGAGTTGGTTGCTGTGGAGATGAGGTTGCTCACCCTCCCTGTCCTGGCCGGCCTGCCCCTTTCAGACCCAGGATACTCTTGGCATCATTCTCCCCCTCTTCCAGCATGTCCTCCCTGCTCTGACAACAGGTGTACACAATGGGGCAGCTGCAGTCCAGCAGGGCTGCCCACTCCTTCAGTTCAGGTAAAAACCTTTGTGAATCTTCCAGCCCCTGGCTAAGGTCCTGGGCACCACAGGCAGCCCCTCACCTATGCCAGGACCCCTCCTTTTACAGCTGCAAGGGAGCATTGGGCCCCAGGCCTATCAGGCTCCTTGTCTCCCAGCACCTGCTTTGGGAAAATGACTTTTCCTCTTTGAGCTGAAACACTCTGTCCATATTACACAGAAGCCATATTTGTACGGGGGGCGGGGGGAGGGGCCGTTGTGCTGTGTGTGTCTGTCTGTGGGCAGGGGTGGGGAAAGGGAGCAGGGAGGGGATCGTGTATCTTTATAATCTTTCTAACTCTCCTGTGCTAATCTCAGAGGGGCCACCCTCAATATATCTGGATTATCCGTGTGGTTCGGCTGCCTCCTTTCTGCTGCTCTCTCTGCTGCTGCTGGGCTGTGTGTATATAAAGGTTATTCTGGTATCCCCTGCACCTGGCACTCAAGGGGTGCTGCGTCTTTGCCATAGTGCACTCCCAAGTATGTATGGAAGCAAGGAGGGTAGTGTGTGGGTCCCTTGCTTTCCACAGAGATTTCGCGGTAGGGCATCTGAGTGCTCCCTTCGACCCTCTGACCGGCAATGCTGGCCAATGTTGAGATGGAGGTGGAGTTGCTGCCAACACCACTGGTTTAGGAAGGAATGTCACCAGACTTTTGCCAGACTCTTTCCAGGGCCCCTCATGTTGAGACTGAAACTTGAGCTGTTGTATGTGTCTGGAGAAAGGGGGGAGGGAATTTCTACAAGGTACCCACCTGTTTGCACCTTGGTCTAAGGTGCTTTGCCCCAGGCACCCCTATATGAATGAGACTGAAGGTCCTTAATACACTTGGGGTTAGAACATCCCAAACTTTCTTGAGCAAATGGAAATATTCCCTATCCTACTCTCTCTGTCTCATTATTCTGACTTGAATACTCCAGTTCACCCCTCCCCAAGTCCAGGATACATCTCCCTAAGTGAAGAAATAAAATGCAGAAAGGAGTAATGTGACAAAACAGCAGAGATCCTGTGAAAGCATCTGGGGGATGGAACACCAAGCAAAAGTGGCTTTGGCTCAGGACTACCCACCTGCGGGTCAGGTGCTCTTTATTTCCGCTGGCTGTAGCAATAGCAGCTCTACTCCCTCCACAAGACACTTTACTTATTGCTAAGATGGCAAGCCAATGAAGCAGTTCCAGAGCCTTTTTGTCCCCCAACAGAAATATGAATAGCAATTACTCCATGGGCAACAGTCCCATTTTAAAATACCCTGTCTCATTGTCCCCCAGAGCCTACTTTAATGTGCCAGACCATGTTTTTTGCTTGGAATGGGAGATGCATTACTGAGCCCATAGGTGGTGAGGTAAATGCCCAATCTCTCTCTGAAATAGTGTCATTAGACAGCCTTGACATCTCCCCTAGCCTTCCCTCCCTGTCACACTGGAATACCCATACCTCTAGATAATAATGCACACACCCAGACACCACCTAGATCCTAACACTCACATGTGTGCACAGTGATACACAACACATGCACACAGATAAGTACCATCTACTCTGATACACACAAAGGGTGCCAAGGCAATGACATGCATACCTCTCAGACTGGACTGATTCAACCACAAGCACCAATAACACACCTTCCCACAAGCACATAGCTTTTGAACTCTTTTCTTGGATCCCATTCAAGGAGATGGAAAGCAACAAGAGTCACGAGTTGCCTTTGCACTTTCATTTCCCAACACCTCTCTTATCTCTGCTTCATATGTTACCCCTGGCCCATTCTTCCTTCCTGTGCTTGAAGAATCTCCACTTGCTGGAAAATTCCCTGGTTTATTCCTCTCCACCTTCGGGAAAATGCCCTCTTTCTGGTCCTCACCTTGTTCCTTTCCTGAGATCATTCTGAACAGTCAAATTCAGCCTCAAAACAGGAAGTCCCAGGCCAAGGCCCATGTCAGTCTGAGGCTTAGGCAGGCTGTAGGCGTGGAGTAAAGCTTCCTGAGCACGGTCCCCCTGGTCCTGCCCTGAACTTGAGGACTTTCATTAGCCCTTGGCACTTATCTTGGAACCACAGCTGCTGACAGCGTCCCGGCCCTTGATAGTGCTGGCAGTACCATGGGGAACTGTTTCTACCGGGTGAGTGTGGGGACCATGAACCACAATCCTTTCCCTCTTTGCTCCCATTCCCTCTTCTGTTTCCTCTTCTGGTCTTTATACCTCTTCCCTTTTCTCCTCATCTCTTATCCCTTCTTTCCTTTGTTCTCAGTTTCAAAAATCTTATTTCCCTTCTTTCCTCCTTATCCCAGTCTCCAGTCCCCATTCTTCCTCTTTGCCTTTCTGCCATCTCCATACAAGTCCTTCCTAACCCTCCCTCTGCCATCCTTCTCCTCCAAGCTTCCCCACTGCTCCTTATGCTTCTGTCCTGGCTTCTCTGTCACTTGCTGCATGGGCTCCTCACCCTCTCTGCTCTGTCCTTTTCCACCTTCTCCAGTGCCTCCATCTCCTGCATCTCCCTTATTCTTCCTACCCAAGCTTTCTCTCTGTTCTGCCTTCCCACAATCCAGGTGGTTCTTCAGTGGAGTACTAGCTGCTCTGACTACCCCCTCTGGGTATATCCTCCAGGTGGATTCCTCCTTCTCACTTGACAAGAACGAAAGTCAAATTTCTTTTGATTATCCTTGGAATTATTCCTATGATGAGAACAACTCCCTTGAAGACTACAGCATGCTGGATTCAGCTGCCCCCTGCCACTCTTGTAACCTGCTGGATGACTCCTCGCTGCCCTTCTTCATCCTGGCCAGTGTCCTGGGTGTACTGGCGAGTGGCGCAGTCCTTTTTGCACTTCTCAGACCTCTCTTTCACTGGCAACTCTGTCCTGGCTGGCCCATCTTGGCACAGTTGGCAGTGGGCAGTGCTCTCTTCAGCATTGTAGTGCCTATCCTGGCACCAGGGATAAATAGTGCCCACAGCACCTCTCTGTGCCGCCTGGGCTACTGGGTCTGGTACAGCTCAGCCTTTGCCCAGGCTCTACTGATAGGGTGTCATGCCTGCCTGGGCCCCAAACTGGGTGCAGGGCAGACCCTAGGCCTCACCATAGGACTCACTGTGGGGCTTTGGGGAGTGGCTGCCTTATTAGGGCTACCAATCACCTTTGCCAGTGACACTTTTTATGGCTTCTGCACTCTGGCATCCAGGAGGGGCCTGGGGCCTTTGCAGTCCACACATGCTGCAGCTTGCTTTGCCACCTTCACCTTGTTGCCACTGGGTTTATTGGTAACCAAGGGCCTGAAGAAGGCATTGGGCAGGGGGCCAGACCCCCGGCTTAATATCCTGTGGGTCTGGTTTATTTTCTGGTGGCCTCATGGGGTGGTTCTGGGATTTGACTCCCTGGTGAGGTCCAGAGTGTTGCTGTTACCATCATGTCTGGCCCAGCAAATTTTGGACCTGATGTTGCATGTGGCAGAAGCCTTGGCCATGTTGCACTGTGTGGCTGCACCCCTGCTACTGGCAGTGTTCTACCACCAGTCCACCCATACTTCCCTGCCCTCCCTGCCTCTCCCTGCAAGAGGATCTTCTCATCTGGATACCTTTGGAGGCAAATCCTAGCTCTCTTCCCACCTGTCAACCTGAATTAAAGTGTACACACTGCTTTTATGAAGCGTGTGGTTTCTTATTTTGTCTGGGGATGAAGAGGAGAGGCAAGAGAATGGAGAGAGAAAGACATTTCATGCCAGACTTTACTGCCAGCTTCTGTTTCTCTAGCTGGCCTAGGGAGAAAGTGAATGATGCATAAACATCCTCAGGGCACACAGATGTTCTCTTGAGGTTTGAAGTTACTGCTTTCTTGTGGGAAAAGAGAAGAGAAACCAGAACTTGAGGGGAGCAGTAATACCACCTAAAAACTGGAAGGCTTGGCTTAACAGGTAAATTAAGACCAGAAGCTGTTGCAGAAAACAAATGAACTAGGATAGAGAGAAAAAGAGAAGAGAGAAAACAAAGAAGAGTCGCAAGAAAGCCCAAAGCAATAGTTCTGTTCCCCTGTATGACCAGTTCCTCTACCCTCTCTGGCTTTGTTTAGACATCAGGGTGGGAGGGGAGGAAGGTGGGAGAAGCATCCTTGAGAACATTTCTTAGTCCAGGGTAGATACCACGATAATTTCAAAGCCACTTCCTAGGAGTTGTCTCTTACAGGTTTATTCCTCAGCACAACCCGGTATCCTGTGTGTGTGTGTGTGTGTGTGTGTGTGTGTGTGTGCGCCTCTGTGTGTATGCATGTGTGCACATCTGTTTCACAATCTGGTAGAACCTATATCCATGTTAGATGCATGCATTCAAAACCACATATTTATGTGCATGCTTTCATCTCAGGTCTGCATCAGAATCATACATACCTATATGTGTGTGCAGGGACCCCAGGGTCCCTCTTGTCACTTAATTCTGAGCCCATCTCTGGGCAAAATTAAGGTATAGAAGCAGGATTGATGACTCACTCCTTACCCAAATGAGGTTTCTTTACCCCACTTTTCATACTCAGTCTTTTCTGAGTAGGATGTGTGGAGGGAAGAAAAGATCAAAAAGTTGCAGAGGGCGGAGAAACTTAAAGAGGGAGGCCCTAATCTGATTCATCTTCTGCTTGGAATCCCCCAAATTTCTCTTTCAATTCCCAGCTCCTGAAATAATTCTTTCTTTCCACACAATCTTTCCTTCTACTTTCCTTACTAAACCCCAATATCCAGGAACTCTCTTCCACAAATATGTCCTGATTCTCTGTCTGCTTATTCTTGAATTTGGAGAATTTTCCTTAACTTCTGCACAGCCAAGTTTGGATGATGGTTGGAGAGGTAATGAGCAAGTCCTTCTTTATATGGGGTACAACCTGTCCTGCCAACCACAAACTTACCCTGTACTTGGAAAGACCACAGGAGTTCTTCCCTCCAACCTAACTGTAGCCTGAGGAAATGTGAGCAGGTACCTTGCATCTGTCTGAATCCAGTTATAGTCTTTCCAATTTTCCAAAGATGTGCTCTGCTTGTCTTCTTCCCTAAAATATTTCTGTGTGACTCTCTGGGGTTGGGGATAAATAGAAAAGTACAGGAGAGGACCAGGGATGACAGAATATCTTAGGCAGGAGGGTGCAAAAGGCTGGGGGAATTTTCCTGAGGTGGGTGCCTTGACGAAGCCTCTAAATCTCCCACCTCCTGTCTCTTAGCAACCACTAAGTTTAGCTCCTGATTGGTGCATCATAAATTGAAAGGCAGGATTTAGGGACCGATTGAGACATGGGAGGCATTCTGAAACAGAAAAGGAGAGAAAATGAAGAAAAAGGAAATCATTTACAGCCTAAATTATGCTCAGGTCTCCAATCACAGATGGTGAATATGTCCTAGTATTTTTTGTTTTCTTCTATTCCCTTTCCAGCCTCCTTTCAAAACCCTCCCTCCAGCCACTGGCTGCTCTCTCAATGCTACCAGATGTTGCCCTCCCCCCTTACAAGGATTTAGAGGCTGACCTAGTTGGGGGGTGGGATTGAGGCTGTTTTTGACTCCTTACATTTTCCAATGTCAACTTGATGCCATTGTTAAACTTAGCTTAAAACCACAAGGGTTGTCTTATCTACCATCCCCCATGCTCCCAGGTAGAAACCCCTCCTCACTTAGTCCAGATAGAAAGAACCCCAGACTCCTGGTAATAGCTTGACAGCTATCATATCCCCTATAAAGGAAAGGCAGAGGCAGATGCTAGCAGACAGCTGATAAGAGGTCAGAGTGAGTTGAAGACAAGTGTCCCCACAGTTATCTCCTTCTTGTTCCCACCCCTGCTGGCCTTGCTCCAGTTCCTGCAGGGACTGCCCTTTCCCTGCCATTATCTATACTACAGCTGAATAGTCCTTCCTTAAGTCTAACTCTGACCTCAGTCAATTCTTTAAAGCTTTCCTTGGGGACAAACTACCCTGTCCCTTTAACCCACTATGTGCCACCAACCACTGTAAAACTGGCCAGAATCTGGCATCTTTTCAGCAACTCTTCAGGAATATAAATCCTGTTTCTTTAGAAGCCTTAAGAATTTAATCTCGGGGTTGGCAGGGACTTTAGCTCTGTATGACTTATTGGGCCTCCTGGCTAAGAAAAAAATCCCCTCAGAAAGATGAGAGTGAGAAGGCAAGCTTTTAGGAACACAGGAAGCCCAGGGGAGGGTTAATTTGCATTAAGGAGGAAGACCTTTCTTCTTGAGGATAGTTTGAACATCACATTGATTCTCCTCATATAGTTCAGGCTGAGGCCCCTACTTCAGGGTTTAAGAAATAAATGCCTTGTGTCTACCCACTTGTACCCAACCCCATTTCCCTACCTTCCATCCCTACCATCACCTTCTTCCTAAAGCCACTCTCTGAGGAATTCTGATTGAGAACTTCACTGGGATTTCAAACTGAATTCATCGCCAACTCTAATTGCCAGGGATTTGCATGAAAACCATCATATGCTATCTATGCTATCTAATTATTCTGACAACAGCAACCCGCCGTCTGGGCACAAGGAGAATCTTGGTTTTAATTAACAATAATGTACTTTGCAGATGAATGTGACTGTTTAGGTTAACAAGTCCAAGTCCTTCCAGATCATCTCTAGACATGTAGGAGATTTGGGCAGGAGGGGTATGGTGTGCAGCGAGGTTGGGGGTATTTAGAAGTCAGTTCAACAAAAATTTATATTAGTTTTTATGTGTCCTACAACTTTCAATGAAGAAAAGGACTGTTCAGGAGACTGCCTCTGGAAAATTGGTTTAAGGGAGAACTAGATTAGGTATCTTTACATCACACTCAGATTGAGAAAATGTTTTAGACACATCTCTATAAATGAGAGGGCTAGTTGATACTAGAGAATTAATGTCTCTAATTCATTGTCCAGTTGTTTGCAAACTTGGTTTCTAGCATGAGATCCCTAACGTTCCCATCATTGCCATTTTTCTCCACACATCTGCTGGAGATGCTGCTACCACATCTGGGGGCACTTACAGTTGCCTGTGCCCTAGGATTTCCCAGACAAAGCCTCAAATTTCCCCTCAAAGGTAGTCGTTTGCACTTTTTTTCCAGAGTAGTTCTCTGTCTCTGTGTCATATGCAGTTCTGAATGGCATCTGTTCTCTTTCTAGTCATTCTCATAGCATGGACCTTGTCTTCTCCCTCTAGATCAGATATTACTAAGGTAGGAAGAAAGGAGGAGGAGTACACATCTCTTAGAAAATCTGGTGAATGTTATGGAGTCTCTACTTAAGAAAACATAATGTTATACCCCAAATTTGACATTTAGTTCCCCGCTACTGTGCTTAGAGGTTAATCTCAAGTGTTTCACACCATCTTGCAGGACCTCCGTTATCAGACTGTGGCTTTAACTCCCCCCTTGCTTGTTAAGCTTTATTTCAAATGCTGACTTTTCTGTTCTTCTGGTGGACAAATCTCTTATTTACATTAATAGTCATTCAACCTCTCTTCTACCCAGAGCTCACGTTCCTGTGTTCTTTACGTGTCTTACGCCTCTTTTTCCTTGAGGTCTCAGTTCAAGTATGGACTCCTTGAAGTCTGACCTTCCCTGACATCCAATGGAAAGTAATGCTAGCTCCCCTATGTACTCAGTTTTTCTCTACCAATTCATTTAGGCTGTTTACATTGTAGCATGCATCCCATGCAAAAATTGTCATGGCTATTCACTTATTGGTTTACCAGTTTATTACTTACTCACTCATTCCTTTCACCACCAGATGATAAGTTCTAAGAGTGCAAGACCTTTTCTCTTTCATGGCTAACACACAGTCAGAGATCAGCAAACATTTATTAAACACATGAATGAATTAATTTTATATAAATTTCAAAGCATGGTTTCCCACACTGGAGAGTTCACAGTTCAATGAGGAAGAGGAGCAAGCAAGCAAATAATTGGTGCATAAAATGACTTTCCTTTCTCTAAGCCCCCAAAGATGTCTCTCTCAAGGCATTTGGCTGTTTGAGGCCTGTAAGCACTTTTTCAGTGACTACCACAGTTCCAAGCCACGTATTGGAGGAAGAATGCTTTATTTCGTTGGGAAAACAGGGAAGGGTGAGAAGGGTTGTCACATTTCACCTGTACTTAAGGAAAAGTGAGTCCCAAGACACTTCCAAAGTTCTAGGAGACAAAGTCCTCCATTGGCTCTGAGTCAAATTCCGAGACAAACCACCTCCTCAGATTTCATAGCATTCAGGAAAAGATCCCACACTCCCTTGCGCCTAAAGGTCTTTTCAGTTTACATGTTGATCTTGCTCTCTCTGACTCTCAGTTTTCCATCCATTTTAGTTTCTACTTAGTGCCTCTTACCAGCCTTCCATCCCTCCCTACTTCTAAACTCCTTTTCTTTCTCTCACCTTCTGGCCTCTGTAGCCTCCCTGTGGCAGTTTATCATTCTACTCTCCTGAGTAGTCAAGTTAATCCTTTAAGGCACTTGATTGTGTACAATTCATCTCATTCACAGAATTTATTGCATACCAAGTCCAAGGTGCTATGAGAAATCCTGGAAGATATATAAATGAATCATACACAACTACAGACATCTCCATCTCATTGGATCCATCTGGTCTCCTCAATCCCTCTCCTTTCTTGGTTCTAGGGATTTTCCAGTTCCTGCCAAACTGCCCTGTGCATATTTGGATCCCAGGGCACACAGGAAATTTCCAAGGGCCCTCAGTCACCTGGTGTTCTCAGACAAGACTTTTACTTCACAGTCAACCACAAAACCCCTAGTCA